CTTGTTATACCATAATTACAACAACCAAGATTTGAATCAGTACATGTGTGTTTCTGTAGAAGATGGGAATTTTTATTTGAAACATTATTGTCTTCGTGATGATTCAGCGAATGAAATATCTCATGTACTATTGTAAGTTTATAAAATTTAAAGATTTGTATTTACTAAGCTTGTTATTTTTAAACAGATAATAGGAATACAATAAACTGTAGCCAGTATAAGTCCCTATTTTTGTGTACTTTTTTATTTATTGAAAGAATTCTGAAAACTTGTCTTGCATCAAGTGTTTTTTTTTGTGTGTTTCTTGTTGTGTTGGTAAAAATATACAATTGCTTTAGACTAATTCTATATATAACCTTTTCTGCCCAGAAAATGAAGAAGGAATGTAACAACTTATGAGAGTGTGCCAGCTCAATTCATTTATAATGCATTTAGTTTTACAAGAAACTCCATTTGTTTGACTTTTTCATATTTTCAAGAACACTGCTTGTCTTAGATTTCAAATCTCCCTCCATTTTTTTCAAATATTTAATGAAAGCAACCTACGTGCACTGACTAATGGAGAATTCAACTAGCGGTCAACTGCAAAGGAAATAGAGGAGTATTCAACTAGCGGGCAACTGCAAAGGAAATAGAGGAGTATGCAACTAGCAGTCAACTGCAAAGAAAATAGTGGAGTATTCAACTAGCGGTCAACTGTAAAGGAAATAGTGGAGTATTCAACTAGCGGTCAACTGCAAAGAATATATAGGATCATTCAACAGTGGTCAACTCTATGCAAATGAGTTGATCGCTCCCTCATTTGCATGGCAAAAATTCAACTAATGGTCAATTGACGGTCAGTTGACCGTCAACTAGTAGTCAACTGAATACTCCGATTTAATTCTAATAGTATTTTTTCATATGGGTATAGGTCTCATAGTTTCCGCATTGGCATGTCCACATAATTGACGAACCGCGGAGTTCCTGATACATAGATAAAGGAAATCTTTAATTATATCCACCCGCAATTAATTGCCCAGCATATGAGTAATCACTACATTCAGCACACCAAAAGAAAGATGCATGATAATACGAGGTTTATCCGGTAAAACAGGGGATGTTACCAGTGTAAGTAATTAAATGTTTCGGTTTCAATGTTTTAATTATTTTTAGGATGTGTGTTTACGTTTGTGTTGTCATGTGTTAATGTCATCGTGTGAGTTTTTTGTTTGTTAGGTGTGACGTATATGACCATTTCCGGTTTGAATAGTTTCTATTAATCACTTTAATTTTCACAAGTGCTTTCCTTGCACATCCGGCGCTACACCCTTGACGGTAATAGTCGTAAATTAATATGGTAGCTGATTTATAGTGTTGCCTGATAAAAATGATTATTTATTACTCATCAATTTTTTATTATATTTGTAATTAAAAGTAAAGTCAGTAAGGATTTGTAAATGTTTATTAATTATAATGACTTTATTTCAGGTTTTTATAATTACATTACCAATTTAATTACCATCATTAAGTTATACTGGTCAAACTCACCATTGACTTGTGTCTTCATTTAACAATATTGAACCTAAGTCTAATACTGAAATGGTCCACATGAACAAATCGTTTTTCTCGAAAAGTTGCGGTCGAACTAAGCTTAAATTTTTCAGTAAATGTTTATTTATCATATCAAACTGCATTATAATATTTTTCGGTAATTTATAGATAAAAATAAGGATTTAATTATGTTTGAATATGCACAGGGCACGGTCCTACGGCGCAAGGTAAAAAAAGTTTAATTGGAGAATGTACAAGTTTTAATTCGAAATAAAAGTTTTAAATACATATCATCAGGATAAAAATTATCCATATGCGATTCAACAATCTATTTTGTCGTCGTTTTAATATTTTCAGTGCATTTGGTAAATTTTTGGCAGTTTCCGGAGCATTTCAAATGGGAAAGTGGTAAACAAAACACACGAAAAATGGCGACGTTGGTGACGTTACGGCGCACCGGATAGCAATTCAGTTTGAGTTGTAATGACACCTTATTAAGAGACTTTCTATAAATACAGAAGAGAAAAAATATAAAAATATTACCAGATCCTTATTATAATATTTCTTAGTTTTCTTAGCGATGTATTTTTTAATGGATTCCACGAGTAGTACAAAACATACGGACAAACTGCTATTGTAAAAGCAAAAGACGCTTTCACTGCCTACCATCGAAATAAAATTGTCTATTAGTTGACTGATGGTGAAAATATTTTCTGTAATTTACAGATAAATCTTCAGAAGATTGCATGTGTGTGCCAGATTGGTTCCTCAACTGTTTATGTAGACCCAATTTTACGTGCACCAAGCATGTGCATCAATGATATTCCTCAATTTAAGTGAGAATTATCCAACTTAATTTGTAGGAAATGTGAAACATAACACTGCTTAGGACACTTTGACGTTTTCATCCGTGTGCCGTAAGGCGATACAATAAATATCATAGAATTTAATGATTTGTTTATTAACTTATATATCTATTTCAAATTTGCCGGAAAACCCTCCTATAATCTAATGTTTTGATTTTACACACATTTCACATACACATTGCACCCACGTTTAACTCACGCCACACTTACACAATACAAGCAACCCTTCCCAACACAGGAAAAAGCTTTTAAGTAACTTTACAAAAGCATTTCAGATAAAACAATATGGATAGTTGGATCATCAATACTATACTGGGCTGGGCTTGCTGCTACTAGCAGGTCCGGTGGACCCAATCTCAACCAAAAGGCTTCCATTATGATCCATAAAGTTGAATAATAGGACTTGTGTGGGAAGTGTTGGATAAAATACTAATTGGAATGTTCAAAGACCAGAGACCTCCAGACTTCTCATCATACAATCGACCTAACTACTTAACAAATCAGTTTATAAAATTTCTCAGAAAATGATCATTGTACATTGCATAGATTTAATGCATTACTGCCAAGCACAACCTTTTTTGGTCTGCCATCCTACCAAGAAAGTATTGGCATTTGGGAATGGGAAAAAATCAACAAAAAAGCATTAGAATCAATAGATTTCATGGCAGTCCAAGTGCAGGAGGTGTACACTGGTCATGATCACAATATTAACGCCTCAGAAATAGATGTTCCGATGAAATGGTACACACCCGTCGTCCAGAGGCAACAACATATACTAAAATACTAGTAATGGAGTTTTATGAAGAGAATTACTTTTACATTCGACAGCTGACTTTTACATTTCGGTTACTGGAGTTTATCTCTGTTTAAATTGTAAAAGTCAGTCGTCGATTGTAAAAGTAAGTCTCTTCAAAAAACTCCAATATGCAAGCTGCCTGATAACATTTTATCATGGGACGGGGCAGTCATCATCACCCACCATCAGACATCAATAAACATTATTATTAATAATTCATACTAGAGTGTTCAAGATTGATCGTTAGTTTGATATATATATGTCGTTGTACTACTACCATGAACTTGTTTTAAGACGGACATAGTGCATATTTTTTTATTCATTGTGCTAGCAAGCACAGGAAATACTTTTATATTTTGTACTGTATTGTAATTTATGTAAAATTTTATGTTTTAATATAATTTAGGTACAATATCTTTATGAGCTCTGTTACAATCATTCAAATGGTCACGATTATGAAGATTGCATTAGTATGTAAATATTAAATATATAAATATAAATTTAAAACTTGTTCTATATTTATGATTATATTGCTGCTTTTTTGACAAGTGAAGGACTTTCTTAGGTAATAGTTTTTTTTGTGGGAGACATTGTTCCAATTTCTGAAGGGGGACTGGGGAGTCTTCAGTGATATGTGTTGACACTTTCTGCTCCAAAACCTCGATGTCCCCCACTTGCTCCAAAAGCAAGGGGTTTCACTACAGGATTTAATTTATAGTGTAAATCAAATTAAAATATACACAGTCAAGACACAGTTAACTGTGCCATTTTGTCAGTATTCTAATGTTTTTTGTATAGTGGGGCCCACATCGAGTATTACTGGGGCGACATCCACCTTACCTGAGTAAGGGGATGCTACAGGCTGGTGCATGTGACAATTACGCTTGTATAGCCTCTCCGAAGAAGAAAGGGTGAGAAGGGCAAGTCACGCTTACCTCCTTATTACACTGGTGATAGTTCAGACTCGGGCACTGACGTTCACGCAGGCCCCCAGTGTGTCCCTTACATGTGGAGTTAATCTGGAGCACTGTTCGGCTCCCCAGTTTACCCACAAAAAAGTTCAAGCGGCAAACATCTATCAATTATATTCCATGTACTTAATGTTGAAATCATAGTTTGTTTTCAGTCTTTTCTTAGAGAAAGTAATCAGAAAACTATGAAAACCAAAGAAATACTGTATACAGGGAAAATTTCGCCACCGTTTTATTTTCGCCACTTTCGCCCTCTTCTTGATTAGGCGAATTTAAAACGGGGCGAATTTAAATAACACAGCATAACTTCTTCGACAGACCTATGAATGGGCGAATTTAAAACGGGGCAAAATTGTTGGCAAGTGCAAAAGGGCGCAAATAGCACGGGGCGAAAAAAAACCCTGTATACAGTATTAGCTTTATTTGTGGTGCATTCAATTTTTATTCAGCTTTCAAATTGACCAATTTTATAATTTAAATTATAATTTTTTTCATGACATTCATTTTATGATATGCATTTTAATCCTAGTCTGTAAGCACTTTTGGCAAACAAATATTACATTTTTACCCTGGTCCGTATACAATATCGTTGACCTCTAATGACCGAGATTTTACAAAAATATAAAGATCAAAGAAGAAAACAAAACTTTTCCCACTTGGATATTTACAATTAATACTTTGATATATTCTATATTTTGAACCATTCATTTTGACAAAAAAACCGTTGTCCACAAAGAATTCTCGTATATATGTTTCACTACAAAAAAGGACTGTCTAAATGTTTTTAAAAGGATGAAAAACGAAAATGCGCCAAGTTTATCATATCACAGTTAATTAGATTGACGACTGTAATCTCTTGACAACCGATTTAATTTCCTCGTTGGCCACTTCTAATATTCCGTTACTTCCAACCTTTTCATTGTGAAAGCAAAGGAGAAGTTGAGCAAGAAAATGATGGCGGAATGCAAAAACGTCTTGGTTTTCGGTTTTTTCCAAATATTTCAGCAAGGTTGAATTCAGTTCAATACATTTGGGGTTTTTGTAAATAAGATTCCGTCCCTTAGCAAGGTTTTTGGCTTCCTCTAATTGACTGTATTCATAACTTCTTTTCTGTTGTTGATTGTTGCTGCCATCATCCTTACTCGCACATTCGTCTCTTAATTTTACCCATGCCTTCCAATCTATTTCTCTTTGATTCACAGAGGGAGTGTTACAGAGAACGTAAACAAGTGTTACATACATATCTCTGTCTTTTTGAAAAAGATCATGGAAATTTTCATTAAGTTTGGGTATAGGATTTTTCATGAATTCCTCGGTTTGCTCGATAGGGCAATGATCTTCAACAATCAATTTAACCAACAGAGGAAATCCTACGTCTTCCGAAATGTTCGAAAAGTATATTCTTCTGTCAAACATGTTTCGGAATCTTTCTCTGCTAAGTTGGGTTCGATAGGCTTCAGAAAGATTGAAAATGTTCCGTCTTATTTCATCCTTTAGTTGTTTTTCAACAAAAGTGGAATCTATACAAATAATGGCTTTATGGTTTTCCTTATTTTTACAATTATCAATTAAATTCATAACTGTATTTCTTACATTAGCCCTTTCATTTTCCTCTAAATTACAGACATTCCATATTCCAAAGCAATCATCCCAGACAACAACATTACCCTGGTCATTCGTGAGTTCTGGTAATGTTGTCTGTTTTGGTTTCATGTAATTTACAGTAAAACCCGTGAAGTTCTCCTTCACCATGTAGTTTGCAAATGTAGTCTTTCCACTTCCTGGCCCACCAACAATTATTATGAATCCATATTCCTCTAATATTTGAACAGCATCTTTGTATGAAATTGGAATAACAAATGTTTCTGGAAAGAAATGTGCTTAAATGAACCTCGTGCCGACCTCTTGAAAAGATTTTACTTCAAGGGTTAAGATTTACTTATACATTACGATAAAACATATACATGTATAGATATCTAACATAAGCTATAGATAAATTAGCCTATTATGTAAGGTAACAGGAGTCAAAACAGTAAATCACTTTTTATTTGCAAGAAGTTTATATCAGCGTAATAATACGAGACAGTGGGCATGCGAAAATTTAATTCTCCCGTATAATAGTATTCCATGAGATCACAGAGAGCAATGACCAGAATTTGTAAAAATTTTGTCTCGCTTATCAAGACCATTTCGTGAAAATAAAGCGTCGGAAAATTAAATGATCTACAATAGAAAGACTATTTATCATAAACTAGATTATTTTTTTTAATTTGATACTGGTAAAACATAAATTTTCTTTTGCTTTAAATTATTTTTGCCTTTTGTAATAAAGGATATAGAGATAACAAATAGCATTCAATATCAAAGTCTATGAAACAATACTCAGAGTGCAATCTGTTTTTCAAAATCATTTCTCGATAAACAATTGAATTTTTAATCCTATACAGAAAAAAATATGTATCTTCTTGTTAAGTATATCAAGCAGGTTTCAAAAGCTTAACACCTTTTACATCTTACAATGTATATCATTACAGATATTACCTTCAGTTCGTGTTTCTTTATAATTATCTTTGGCTGAATCTTCTAAAAATGGGGATGTTACTTGAAAAAGAGAAACAAAATATTAACGCATATTTTGGAAAGGAAACTGTGGGTTTTTTGGGTTCCCCCCTTCGTCGCCAATTGTCGCAATAAATTTGAATTGTTTACTTGACTTCTGAGCTTGAATATTGTTTGTAGTTGCCATACATAGTATATTTCTAATGATAAAGAGGTCTGTGTTTGCTCCGCTCCTATTTTGAACTTTTGTACTCCATTCCATTGTTGACAGAAAGAAATGAATATTTTATGCAAGTCTATTTTAAAAGCTAGTGGGAGATGATTACCTGAGCAAGAAATTTCAGTGTCTTCTTCCTTGTTTGAATTGTCCGAATCATAAATGTAAGATTCTGTTTCTACAAACAAAAAAAATAATTTTGCTGTTCAATCAATTTCATAATTATTAATAATATTTCCACCAATCTGTAGATGAAAAAGTAAAAGTTTTCTTTTTAAAGGAAACCAGTCCTGAAATCGACCTGATATTGAATTAAACTGCGATGATGAAGATGTAATCAAGGTAAAAGAAGAAGACAATTTTGACACAATTTGATCTTGATATTAGACCTTCATAAAAATGTCTGTCACAATTCATGTCCATATTTGCTTTTCATATGTTTTTTATCAGAATGCTTTAGGATTAATAATATTGGCCCATATGTTTTTCATACTTTTAAGCTTGTTTAGCAGGTTTAACCTGACAATTTAAAGCTGAACACGACTCGTAGAAAGGCATACGCCATTTTCGATATCATTATCTACGACACATCAACACTAGGGTGTACTCGTCGCATTCGTTACTCTTGACTGCTTTATTGTCACGGGTATCGGCATGGAATGGCGACCCGTGTTGGTGCTGCATTGTTATCTTGCATTACTGTTGTTTACATTTTATTGCAGTTTTTGTGTATATGTATTGTTTGTATAATGCACAACTTTAATTGTAAATTTATTTGGTATCTTACTTTTCTGCATTAGACGTCGTATTACGTTATTATTTTCGCTAACAAGTCCTGTACAGCATACGTACGTCTACCCTGGTGTCGACTAATTACTCTGAACAGTGACAAAGTTCTGCCCTTTATATACGGGTCTGCAGAGTAGCGAGAATCGGGAACAAAAATGGCAGACACATTTCTTTTACGAATCATGTTAAGCTTTAAGTCCCGGGATTTCAGAAATCAGATTGGGCGTAGTAATTGACCAGGGCAGTTGAATCTAAGACAGCTCGAGTTTTCCCTTCTTTTGTTCTTTGTTTTATTATTAATGACCAGAGGTCCACATATTTTGCGTAAGTGTATTTTATTTATTATTGTTAGCTTTGTGATTTATTGACCGTTTTTATTTCTAAAATGGCACAGAACTTTATACTAAGTTAGATTCAAAGTAGTATTTGCTCATGTAAAGTGTATATGTTTTAAGTAAAAGTATAAGTGTATGAGTATATGTTATATGTAGACATAGTGTTGTATGTATAAAGTATGGCGTTTAGTATTCGTCTTAAAGTCAGGTTATTGTCTACAAGTAGTACACCTAGTTTATGTGTGAACGTAAAGGTTCTGAAAAGTATGAAGTGAAGTATAAATAAAGTGCAGTAAAATGCAACTAAGTAATGTATAATGCAGTAAAATGCACCTAAGTAAATGTACAAAAAATGTGCAAATATGAACAATGTACATATTATGTCTGTATTTAACTTTGATTTATATTATAGGTACCATTTAGGCCGGTTATGAAATTTTATGCCACGTACATGTATGCAATTAAGCAGTGAGCCATTGAGTCATGTAGAAAACGTTTGTGTTTGTACATTTTTGTAAATTAAAACTGTTTTCACAAAAGTCTTCTGTGATTTCGGGAATCCACTAGCCACCCTGTGACAATGTCGACAATTTAAATGGTGTCAACAAAAAATAAAAAAAATAAATAAAATGGCAATTTATGCAAAGTATGTTCTCGATATCGCGATGTTGACGATGTGAACGACGTAAACAAGAAAATACGAAAGAAATGTTGACAAGATGTCAACTTGATATCAACCAACATTGCAATGACGACAGTGTGAACGATGTGAATAAAAAAGGAAATTTTGATCAAGAAGGAATTTTTTTTTAATAAGAAGTGCTGGCATTTTTACAGCTATGTGGACACTAAAACATCCTGCATTGGATATCTTTTAAAGTCAATTCCATTGAGGTATGTCATATCGATATATCTGGCATCGCTGCAAAAATATCAATTTTCCCCATTTTATTTTAACATTGCTCCTTATAATGTAATGCGGTTATGATAGGTTTGAGCTTGAGATTAAAGATACCACAGAATCTGACACATCAGTTTTATACTTGATATTTTACTTGAAAAAGACACTAATGGTAATCTAACAACCAAGCTATATGATAAACGTGATGACTTTAACTTTTCTATCCTCAACTTCCCTTACTTATGCAACAATTAACCTTCATTGCCTGCATACTAAGTTTATATACTACATTTGATTCGATACGCAAGGATATGCTTTGCGTATGAACGATTTCTAAAAGAGGTAATCATTGAAAAACAAGTTGATGAAACAACAATATCGGTAGTCACTTTCAAAGTCATCATTTCGTAAGTTCTTTGGTCGATACAATGACCTTGTCAGCGAATACGATTTATCATTGAGTTAAATGCTGATTGGCATTTTTCATACTCATTGTTAGTCCATAATTTATACGCTAAGTTGACAACGGCTTTTTCCGTTTTTTTTTTATTATGACAAGGAGCACACAACGGATGTGACCGTTCGGCAGGGGATGTTTACTCCTCCATGGGAGCTGATCCCATCTCTGATGTTTTGGAGGTCCATGTTTGCTCTGCTTCTGTTTTATATTTTTCATGGACTTTGAGATCTAATACGTCATCTTCATATCCTTCATTTCATCATCTTACAAGGTCAAGAAAATGGTCATGTAATTATTGAAATGATGAGTTGAAGCTGACTATGACTTGTAAATAGGCAAACGCCATTTTCGATATCATTATCTACGTACTATACATCCACCCCTTCTAATGTGATTGGAACCTTTTATTTTTCGGTGTTTCCCAAATTCTAAAAATAATTTTATTACGTTGCATTCAATATTTTACAAGTCCGTTCTACATATTTAATTATTCAAACACAGAGGATCTTACCATGAGCAACTGATGATTGGTCAGTTGCTCGTGGTACGATCCTCTGTGCGCATTTATAACAATAGCCATTAACTATATAAGGCAAACAAAGGTTTGTCATTTTAGATTTTTTTCACCAGCGTATCTGCTGTTAGTGAGCTCTGATTTTTTGCCGTAAATTATGATAAGATATATTGTTATTTTAAGTCTTTTTCAAAGGTCTCGAAACAAGGGATATGTTTTCAAAAGAAACAGATGATAGCAATTTCCTGTCTTGAATTTAAATCACGATAACAATATAGTAGGGGTGACATCAACGCCAGGGTATACTCTTCAAATTAAGTTGACTATAGAAAAGTTAAAGTCACCACGTCTGTCATAAAGCTTGGTTGTCTTTTTCAAGTAAAATATCAACATATAAAACAGATGTGTCAGATTCTGTGGTATCATTTGTCTGAAGCTCATCAGAATATGTCGTATTGACTTAAGAATGGAAATTACCATTGTTAATAGACAATACGTCAACGATACATTTGAATATTGAGTTAAAGGCAACAGCACGTGTTTTCTTTTTTTCGCGCATAAGATTTTTGCACAAATTCTGCTTCATATGAATACAAAAAGAGGTTTGCTTATACCGTATGTAGATGAAAGGAAATTACTAAAAGATGACGAAAAGTGAGAATATGAACAAAATAAAACTGAGAAAACTATGTCCTGACAATTTAAATAAAGTATCTCAGACACAGATCTATAAATAATCTTTTAGGCAATGTCATTATCTTTTAGCTTTCTTATCTTACAAAGAATTTTAGAAAAATAGACAAAGATTTTTTAAAACTTAACTCTGTACACTGCAGTTTTAATACCTTTCTTGTTTGTTCTCCATCTTTTGAGCCATCTCACTAGGAAGATAATTGCCAGGAATATAGCGATCGGTACAATTATTCCGAAGATTATCCCAAAATAATCAACAATCGTAACCGTCAAAGATCTTGAAAAGACATTAAAATAAAAGCATTTTTGTTCACCTAATTATGATTTTATCATTTAGAAACATTATATCTCTAGTTTATTTATTATAAATTGTACTTTTACCCCGTTTCTGCAGGGTTAAAAAATACTCAGAGAGCATATAAACTGACACGCAAAAGAAACGCAACAAGCAGTAATCCACAAATGTTTGGATTTTTTATCTAATGATTTAAAAAAAATGAATACAGTAAGGCTAAACTCACTTTTCAGAACATCAGAGATTTGAAAAAAAGCTAAATGTTTATCTGTTTACTTTACTTAGTAACATATGACTGTTAAAACACTCCCCTCCCAGCCATTCAAGTAAAACGAGCAAGATTGTCCTAAAAACAATTGCAGCTTAATTTCTACGATACAATAGGTGCATCAATATTGAGATCTGAGCGAAGGACTTATTCTTTGCCATTTTTTTTAAATTTCAGATGACTAGGTCGAATTTTTCTAATTTAGAGCAGTGTAGCCACCTTTGAACTTCCGGTACAAGGACTGTCCTTAATGAATATGATACGTAAGACCCTGTTGAGGTGTAATGTTGTGAATTTTTGCTTCAGCAACTCTCCATCACCTTTACATTGAAAATTTCCAGCTAGAGCAATGGAAATGCGTACTTAAGCCATTTTCAAGAAACCTTAGCATTAATACGGGAAACGAAAGGAGAGTTTATTTTTAGAAATATTGCTCTATCACTTATGATGAACAGTTAAAACCCTTAAAACTCCATAATATTGCCAAATGTTTTGCTAAACATGGAATTTTTTAATTTCTGTTAAGCAGACTCAAACTTGACTT